GGCAGTAGGTGGTCTACTTAGGTTTGCTGTCTTAATTAGTCTAGTAGAAAAAATATGACACACACACACACACACACACACACTCCAAGATTGCAGAAATGATTTTGAAAGAAAAAAATTCCTTTAATCCACCCAATTTGTCTTCTAGAAGCTTCCAAACTCACATGCCCAAATGCATAAATACAAATACCGAGGAAGAAAATCAGATAACACAAGTGGGAACTCCGTCAGAGAAAGTTTCCCTAACATTGTAAGAGATTGCACTCTAGGCAGAAAACGGCTAGCAGATCCTTAACTCTGAGGAGGAGCAGGTGGAGACATGAAGAGGCTGCCCGCCCGGGCTTCACACCGTAACTGCTGCGCCCGGCTTGGATAAATATTTTTATTACAAACACGATGATCAGTAATGGGCCAAGTGATCCATTCTGAAAAGGATTTCCCACCGGATGGTGACACCGCCGTAGCCGAGAAACACAAAGCGTGCAGGGGAAGCCGGACTGCAAACCGAGTTTGCTCAGAACGTGAAGAGCGACATCAGGGTCGATGTCAGGTCAAGGGCAGCTTCAGTCAACCTGCACGAAGCCAACGTGGGGAGCGCAAACCTGCTCCCAAGACAGCTCAGTCAATGTCAAGGGGACTTCTGCAAAAAGAAGGGTGCAAGATTCTCAGGACCCTCGGCCACCCCTCCAGGAAAACATTTCCTCCTTCCTGGGGAGAGATGATGTCTCTTCTCGCTTCCTCTCCCCCTGAAACTGCCAGGCTCTGCTTGCTGACCAGAGCTGAACTCGGGGTGCGCCACGGCTTCTGATGCTTCCCCCCAAACACACGCTGATCACCAGGCCGGATCAATGCTCGGGGACCCTGGGAGTTGGAAGGTGGAGGAGTGGTGGCTGGGCGTCAATTCCTCGTTCCCTCCCCCACCCAGGCCCAGGCCCAGGCTCAGGCTGCGGAGATCCAGGAGCTGGGCTCCAGAGCACGAACAGAGATAACCCAGCCGTGGTGGCGAGGAAGCTAACGGGGCAATTAGGAGGCTGATTCACTTGTTTATCTGGACGATTAGCTGAGTGCTCTCTGAGTGCTCTGTGGTTCAGGGAATGTTCCCTCGCAGGCTCATCAAGACCACGCCCTTCCATGCGCCTGATATTTCCACGAAAGAAGGAAAAACCACGCTAAGCACTGGGTATGTGTTTTGGTGGACCTTTATAATGATACATTTGCTAAGATAATTACGGTAAACAATGCACACCAAGCCCCAGACAGAGAAGGGTTGGGAGAAGCATTCGCCTGTGGTTGCTACCATCTTTCGAAAGAATCACAGAGGAAGACATGGCCTTAGTGAATCCTCGTAACTCAGGGCTTCCCCACCAGTGGTGTTTCCGAATCCCCTTGAACCCATGATTGTAGCAATACAACATGGACTAACAGAATGTTGCATGGGAAGAGACTTTTTAGCAATCACCTGGATTTGGGCTCTAAACCGTATTTCTCAGAACACCGGGCAATAAGACATGTGTGCCACAGACTCTTCATGGATCAGACTGTTTAAGCAGAGATTCCAGGTTAAAGATAGATAGGCTCCTTTCTTGCCCAAATGGTGGCAGATTAGAGACAGCCACAGGTTCTTTGACACTGCCTGAGTCTGTGTCCTCTACCCTTGAGTCTGGGGTGGGCTCTGTCTTTGACGAAGTTGAGTAGAAGTAAAGGGGTGTGGACATTGTTTCCCTTACAGAAGCACGTTTCAGCTGACGAAGTCTATCAGGCTTCTCGTTAGGTAGCCTTGTCTTTCTGTTCACTGATCAAGTCTTCGTGTCCAGCCAGGTCTCTTTCCAGGAGACCTCTCTTAAATGGTAGACTCCCAAAGAGGATATAGGGTATTTATTAGCCTGACGTCTAGACTAAGCTCACTTCTAAAAACAGCAGAATGTATAGCAACATCTTGGCCCTTTGGTCTTAAAACATTTGCCTGATGGCAATCTTTGCTTAAAACTGAAAATCTCTGGAAGAATCAATTTTTTCAACTGACCTAGATGTTGGTGAAGGATCCAGATTTTAAAATTCCTTTAAGTCTTAAGTTACAAGTTCCATCTCTCTTCCTCCATGTGAGGTAAATAACCGGATCTGAAGTCTGACTCTGTTCTTAAAACACTACAGGGAAGAATGTTAATGCAGGTCAAAATCTGGGATGTTCGATTTTTACATTTCAAATACCATTCCAGCCTATGCCACAGTTTCCCAACCCAGTCTCCAAATCCAAGAACCATTTCAATGGGTGAAAAAAGGTTTTATCTAATTATCTTCTTCTCCTGCTTTGAATTGACCAACCATGTATCTTTTTTTGGTCTTATCAAAGGGGCTGTGAGGACAAAAGCACATCCAATTTTAAGTAAGCTTTAGTTAGCAGACTTAAAATTGATCATGCATTTTAGTTTCAGTAACTTGCAATTTCTACACACTTTGATAATTCACTTTAAAGAGCAAACTGTCTTTAATGACAAGGCTTAAAAGAGATGACCTTTCTGAACAAAATATGAAAGCTCCGATGAGACTGCTCTTTTAAGGAAACTATGAATTAAAATGACCTTGTGTTCTGAAACTTTTCTCCAACCATTTTTGATGTTTTACCTTTCCTTTTTACTCTCAGAACGAAAGCTAAAATACCACTGCCTTCTGCGGATGGTGATGCACTTCAATAGGGAGATGTTAATTGTTAATTCAAACCCAGTTTCTCTTGTCTGTGCTTTCTCGGCCAACACCTTTAATGAGGTTGCTCACGACCACAGGCATATGCCTGTTTCTGAGGACTTCACCGTTACTATGCAACATTATGGGATAACGTCGGAATTGAGCAATTTCCCTTGAGTCACAGCCGATTCTTTTGTACAAACTACGAGGCAAGACCGACCCATTCTCCATTCCCTCCTCTGAGGCCTTTTTTCTCCATTGTGTCCCTGGATGGCTTGCCCTCTGAGGAGTTGATTGTTGAATGGGGAGGTTGCAAAATCAGGGGGCATGCCCCTGAAACGTCTCGCTGCTTGGTGACACAGAAGCGGTGGACCTTCAACAAAACCATGACATGGGCAGATCACTGGCCTTCGCATTGACCCTTCTCCTGTGCTCGATCCCATGGCTGGGTAAAAACACACACCAGAACCCTGCACTCCCACAGCTTCCTTCCCCTTGGTTTTTCTCCGTGCCTCATCACCCACTGCCCATGGACGGTCGCACGCAGACACATAGCACAGATGGATGACTCCAGGACAGGAGCCAAGAACGACAACCTGAGATGGAACTAAATGAAGTACTTGTGATGAACAATTGATCTTCCACCAGATAAAAGAAAGGATGAAATCTTAGATGATTTTATAAGAAGGCACAATGTTTATAATTTATTTCCTGAGCACTTGCTTTTTCTCCCAGTAGCCTTTTGTACACCCAGGGCTCAATTCAAGAAGGGATTTTAAATGTGCCAAATGCAATTTTTCTTTCTCTTCCTTTATCAGAGGACGTTCACAAAAGCATTGGTGTCGGCCATCTAGTCCTCACACACACAATCAAACGGACCTAAAGTTTCGGCACGCTTACTCCCAGACGTATACGACACACATCAGAAGGGAAACAGGATCTGGGTAATGTCAAAGGTTCACCAGTGTTTGTGATTTCATAACCCTTGAAACAAGGAAAAGAAAGAATAGCAGGCAACCTTCCAAAACACCTACTGATATTTACTCATGGAAAACAAATATTCTTGAGTGGGAGTTCCAATTCCAGCAGACAATACAATTCACCAAGTATTTTCACTTCAGGCGGCTAATAACCTTACTAATGAAATCTGTTGAGCTTCAACCTGTTTTTCACGGTCTGTAGAGAAGCACTTAAAATTAATCAGGTAGCCTTAATCTTTCCTTTTCGAGCACTAAATCATAGTCTGAGTACCAATTGTCCTCATTTGGTAGGTGGTTTTAATAGCATCTGCTTCAATTGGACCTTTTCCTGAATATTCTTCAAGCCTGTGTTGTAATTAAAGACCTGAGCTTTCAAAGGCCAGAGATCTCTACTTCTGCAGGAGGTGTCAGGGCAAACGTTACCAGCCAGAGATGATCTAGAGTAGCAAGGCAAGGCTTTTTATTGCTGGCCGCCGCAAGGCAGCATTTATGCCCATCCTGGCCCTGGCTTTGGAACTGGCTATAAAACCTGTCACTTCCTTATCATTTCTGGGTCTCAGTTACAGTGCAAGAAAGGGTCATTAATCCTTGGGCAGCAGACAAGAGAGGTAGGCGTGGGAAAGAGACAAGAATTTTGAAAAAGTGTAAAGAAATGTCCTGCCCTGTCCTGTTACAGTAAATGGGATAACTCTGGCCTTGCTGGCGGCCCAGATTTTTAGAGTGTCTCAAAGGGCCCATGGCACATACCACAGTGCAGTCAAAAGAATAGAGAGCGTCGGACCACCACAAATCAAAATTTCCTTGGCACGTGGGATTGACCAATCTGCATAGAACTGCTTCTTGGCATTTTCATGGAGACAAACATCCAATCAGGGGAATATCACCATATTCTCAGAGAGTGAAATGGGACCAATCACAGCTCATCTGCCACCACCTGATGACACCATGTTGTGTGTCCTTGTAACACCCCTCACCCTTCATTTTTAGGCTTTCTTATGGAACGTCCATTGCTATTATAATGAAAACAACAACCATAAAAAGAGAAAGCAACAATAAAACCAGAGCTGTTACATAAAATTCTTACGCCATTCTGCCTCTGGAGTCCGAGGGTCAGATGAGACCAACGCGACAACTTCTTAAAATGGTATCAGATGACTTAGTGATTTTTTTCATTCTAAATAAATGAATGGCTTATGGATTTGATCTCTGACATGATGACATAAAGGTATTTTTTTCCCAGAGTACAATTTCAGATTGTCAGGGTTTTCTAGGGAAAAATACCATGAATATGTCATACTTATATTGGCAAATGAGGTGCAAGAAAAAGTAGAAATAAAATTGATAAGTACAAAATATAATGTTTTAATAATATATGAACATGAACATGAACACAACATAAGCATGTTAAAAATTGTGATACGGTACTACAAGCGTGATTTTGATTATACGCAACCGGTAAAATTCCATGCAAAAGCGTCAACAAGGCATATTATAAGAAATCATTTCTTTTCCCAATAAAAGCAATTCTCAGTACACACCCAAATGCACGCAAATATGGAAATAATAAAGAAATGTTAAAAAAAATAACTTAGGCAGACACAAATAAAACTACCCCATAGTGTATGAGTGATGCATGTGTTTATGGTCTTAATTACATTACAGTATTAAAAAATACCACAGAGCTCACAATTTACAACATCCAAATCTTCAAACCTGCTGGAAGAAATCCACAGTGCACTCAGACAGGACATCCACTGCCCTCGCCTGTGCTACTCAGGCCAAGCCTTGGTGCAGTTACCTGAAAATCAAAAATCTCAGTTAAGGTTTTCTCCAGGTTTAAAGAGCATGTCAATGAAAAAATATGTCCCAACTCGGGAGGAGTTGGATGGCAATTAAAAAGGATATTTGATATCAAAATGTCATCACTTATGTCCATAAAGGATCCAGTCCCATCTGCACCAGGCAGCGGAATCTTTGGGAAAGTGAATGATTCACAAGATCTGAACTTCTAATCCAATGCCAAGTAAGTGCTTTGGCCTTTCACTGCACAAAAACGGAGGTTGTTTGATTGAATGAGAGCAGGTAAACATGACCCATGCCTGTGATGTCTCTGGGGGCCTTGGACTAAAAAGGCATCCTCGAGAAGCACACACGGGGGCCACTGAAGTCATGGTGTTGCCACACCACCAAGCCGTTTATCTATTTTGGTCGCGAGAACATCTAGCTGCAGCAGCGCCAAACCTCCAGGGGATACAGGGCTTTGAAGATGTGGGCTACCGTACTAAGAATTGCATCATCTTGCTATCTTAAAAGAAAGACGGTCTCCTTAACCTGCAACTGATCTTCAAGACAATGTCTTGTCAGGACTGTGCAGGTGAGGTCCAGACTTGTCAGGCACCTGCAGATTCTCTCATTCCATTCTGATCATACTGACTAAGCACTGTGATTACAAGAGGTGGGTGGCTTCTCAAAGACAGGCTATTTAGTAAAAATATAAGTTTTCTTCCCCCTGAAATCGATACTATGTTAAGCATTTTAATAAAGACATTAATGTCAACCCCTGAGACTCACAGGTGTAAACAATACACAGTAACCAGAAGGCATTAGGAGCATGGGCTGTACCTTCTGCTTTGGTATGTAGTCAGTTCTTCTTGAAGGACAGAGGCTCTCTTCTGCAGAAAGTTAACCTAGAAAAAGACACCGTGTATGAGCAGAGGCTAATGTGGCCGAGGTGGCAATACTGTGCAAACAACGGGGCTCTCTAGGTAAAAGGCAGAGGATTTGCTGAATGTCAGTGTTATGCTTTTCACTTCTGATCAATTGCATCCCCTCCTGAAAATCCATCCGAGACTGGAGAATCCATTCAACCTCCTTATTGCAGAGCCATTTTGATCTGGCCCTAGCCTATCTTCAAGGCTCCATCTTTCGTCTCGCCCTCCCAACCATCACCATCTTGCACACCATGCTTCCCAACTCTTTTGCCCTTTGGTGCAGGGCATTTTCTCTCTTTGAAATGCTTGGCTAACAATCTCCTATTTACCCTCCACTATTTGGTTCACATGTCACTGACTTCCTTCACTCCTCCCCAACCACTCGTCACATCCGAGGCAAAGTCAGCATCCCTCCTCTGTATTCCTGAGCTCCATTATTAGCAATTCTTGAGCTGCCACGTGGTTGTTTGTTTTCATATCTCTCCCCTGCCCCCCCAAAACCTGGGAGCTCTTCTGGGACAAGAAAGGATGTTTCTTCATCTCTGTGTCCTCAGCTTCTTTCATGGGGCTGAGTATGACGCTGGTATGCACTAGTGTTGCATGAATGAATGTATGAGTGAGTAGAAAGAAAAGTACTGTCTTCTGGAAACCTCAGTCCATCCTGGGGATTCCCTGAGGTGGGAGAGACAATACTGGTACCATAAAGAGCTGAAGTCAGAGTTAGGCCAGCTTGGGTTCAACTCCTGGCTTGGCCTCCCTGACTCTAGGAAAGTTACTTGAGCTCTCGATGCCTCATCTGTGAAATGGGACCAATGACAGCTGCTTTCCAAGGTTTGGAGGAGGGCATGAAAACACTAATAGAAGCCACATAGCACAGAGCTTGGAGCAGTACCACTCCCTGCTCCCACTCTCGGGGGTGCTGAGGGATGGAGCAAACTGGTGACTCAGCAAAGTCTCTTAAATCAGATCTTCAGAGTGTGGTTTGATTTTTTGGAAGCATAAATTTCCGTATAGTATTAAAGATACCTATATCAGGTATGAATTCAAAAGCACCTTCCACGAGCAAATAGAAACGGTTTTGGGGGTAACTGCTCCCACAGCTCGATGTAATCAAGAGTCAGCAGCATTTGATCATTTCAGAATTGTTTACTCTTGCCACTTTGGTCTGAACTGAAACCATGGCAACGGTTGATTCTAAAGCCTAGTTAGGCAAGAGAATACAGCTAGCAGAACGGCAAATGTGCTTGCAGGAAAGGAAGGCACACTTTCTCTAGATGGGTACATATCCAAGAGGTCCCCCTCGGTTTTGTTTACTTGTGATATCACCCTGGTCTTAATTCTATCCAATTACTCATATGACCCATCGGACAATTGATAATGTTGACAGATGCAAGGATTATACTCATTCGGCTTCCCTTCCCCCACTGCGCTTTGCAACTGGAATCCCAACAATTTTCAGAAAACACAGGCACCTGTGCTTTCAAACTAAATTTGCTCAGTCTATGGCCTGCGACTCCTCCATGCAGCTGCCAATGCTGAGGCCCTAACGCAGCTGGCAGCACTCTCTCTGGGTCAATATCCAGTTTTAGGAGGCTGAAGTGGCTTTTATTACAGGGAAATGATGTGAATGATAACAGAAGCCCTGCAGGTGGATATCAGATTACTTTCTTTCGTTCTTTTTTTTTTTCTAAAAAAAAACGCACACACACAAAAAAAACACAAAAAACCAACAACACCACCCTCCTCTGAAGGTGCCAGGTCCTACATAGCTGACCCTATGGGAGCTCTCCTACAAAGTTAATAGGTAAACCACACTTCAAGGGGAGCTTTTCATGTAAAGAAAGAGGACTTAACCCTTTGTACAGTAACACTTCCCTGCAGTACTTGTTTTTATATGCAGGAGTGGAGGAGGCAAGACTCCACCGGCAGAAGCAAAGCCAAGAGTAGCACATTTTATCTTCAGATAAGAGGCTTTTGACTGAGGGGAATACATGCAGGGCAGCCAAAATTTGCTGTGTGCGCTGTCTTACACAGGATAAAAAGCTAATGTGAATATCATTACATCCTATCAGTTTGTAAATAAATTTATTGAGCACCTAATACGTGACAGACACTGTCTTGATATGAAGAACAAAGACCTCTTTCTCTCAAGGAGCTCTCCCAGAAAAAAAGTGTGTTTTCCTTTTTTTTTTTTTAAGTTTCTTTACAGGTACACAATTTGCAAATATTTTCTCCTATCCCGTGGTTTGTCTTTTCAATTCCTGAATGATGTCTTTTGAAGCATAATGTCTTAACTTTTAGTAAAGTCCAATTCATCTTTTTTTTTCTGCTGCTGCTTATATGCTTCATGTCATAGCTAAAAATAAACTTCCACCTAACCCAAGGCACAAAAATTCACTCCTTCATCTAAGAACATTTCTTCTTAGAGATTTCTTCTAAGAGTTTTACAGTCTTTTTGGAGGTACATTTAGGTCTATGATCCATTTTGAGTTAACCTGTGGGAAACATGTGAGGGAGGTCTCCATTCTTTTCCATGTGAAAGATCTGACTGTCCCAGTGCCTTTCTTTCCATTTTCCCCTCAGTGAATCATCTTGAAACATTTGAAAATCACCTGACCGAAAATATGAGGGTTTTTTTTTTTCCTGGACTCTCAATTCTATTTCATTGATCTCTGTGTCTATTCTTTTGCCAATATCACATTGTCTTGATTGCTACAGCCTTTTACTGAGTTTTTAAATTGGGAAGTATGAGCCCTCCAAATTCATTCTTATTGTTTCAAGAAGGTTTTGGCTACTCTGGGTCCTGGGTATTGTTTTTCATCAATCTCAGTCATACAAGGATCCTTGGACATACAAGAACATGATTGTTGTAGGGAAAAAGTATGTTTTAGATTTCTAAGTGTATTAGAAGTGGGAGTATGTAGATTCTTTCCCATGTTGGAGCACACGATCTCACTGCACTGGCAAAATATAAAATGTGTTTATAGAAGTACATGGAGAAAACTGACGCTGGAAGTTGTGAAAACATTTTAAGCATCTAAATTTACATCAGTTGCATCTCTCACACTGTATTTCATAAGTTATACCAGGAACTACACATTTCAGCAAGAAATATTTGACCCAATTGTTTGAATACCTTGTCATTATTCTGCTCGGCATCTAAAATGCATCTTGTTGTGTCTAACAACCATATAAAACACACCAGAATAAAAATGCTTCTAATTTAACCATGGTTTCTGTTTCTCTGCACTTTCACACAGTCAGGAATCACCAATGTGCCAAGTCATGGCATTCGAGGCCTGGTACCAAGAGTAAAAAGGGGGAGGCTGTCTTGGAATGTACACTGTAAAGTGAGTAAAAGTAACCATAACTGAACTTCTCAATTTCATGGGCGCTTTTAAGAAAATCTTACTGAGACAATGAGTTCCAAAACTAGTAAGAAAAACATTCTTAAAAAAAAAAAAACACAAACAAAACCCAATTCATCCTCAGTTGTACTTTATGTTATGTATGATATTACATTATTTTCTGGCATCAATTCACAATGAAACGTATTCATAAGTCTGTTTTCAAGATATGCACACCACCTGGACCCTTAGGAAATGCCTTAGTTCTAGTAATTACCTGTGACTTTAAGGAGGAAATGGTGTCTTCAAGCTCTTGTCTTAGAGATGCTGGCATCAACCCTTTGAATTTTGTTTCGTATTCTTGTCGTATGTAAGTTATCTATAGCGAAAAAAAAGAGAGAGCTTATCAATTTCTCCTTAGAAAGAATGATTTTAAATTTAAAACAATGATTAGTAACTATCTATTTATCACAAAGGTAAGTTTGTTACATGTGGTCAATACAAATGAAATGACAGGAAACAGAGTTACAAACTGCAAAAGGCACTCAGTCTACTACCCTTGTGCTCTGGGATAGTGCCTCAGACACTTTTCTTTAAAATCCCCATTAATATAATTTTCAGCACTTGATAAATAGAACCTGTTCTCCTCTTACCACTTATGATATGTTCCACTATGCTGACCTTTTCTTGATCAGGATGTGGATACACTGTGACTTGAGGACAATTCATAGTATGCTATTGATTTGATTAAGATCCTCCCTCAAACTGGCTAGGTACTTAGGGGCTCGGTATAATCCATAGGATGATGGGGATAGGAATAAAGAATAGTCTATGCCAAGGTGTCTCCAAGTCTCCACACAGGTAGACCAGAGTATCTTGCCATTGTGAGCTTCTCTGGCTCATGGGCTTCCCTCCCCCTCCAGAACACAAAGAAGCCTGGGCTCAGCTAATTGATGGGTCCCTGGGCTGGTAAAGGAAAGTTTGGTGGCTCATCCATTCATCTCTCTAAAAGCTACAGACAGAAGCAAGTGGGGAAGGGGTGAGAAAAATCTTTGGAGGGATGTGCCTGAGCAGGATGCAGAGGTGTATGAGTGTGAGCATCAACATGTGTGTGTCTTGGTGTCCTTCTCCAGCTAGGCTGATTTCCCTTCCTCCTAATCTGAGATGCAACAGAATTAAGCAACCTATTGCATATGCTGTATGTGACTTAACTGAATATTAAAGCAGAATTGCACAGTATCCCATAAATGATTCATTGGATGCATCTGGAAATAAGGTAACATACTATGAAAAATCTGTGCAGCTGAGCTCACTTAGACAAGCCTATGGGTTTACTGAAGATAATTTAAAATTATCAGCCTTTAATTCCCAACTTCTCCTAGACTAAACCAAATTAAGAAATGTGTTCTAACAGTTCATTTCATTATCCACTAAAATCCCATGGCAAATGTTCTAGAATATGATTTTTCAATCTTTGGCAAAGTGTTTTTTGACAAATGTTATAATCTTGTGATTTACACCTAAAGGAAGAACAGAAATAATGAAAAATGATCTCTCCCAGTGGTGTAATATTTGATTTTTCCCACCTTTTCTTCTTGGACTTAAGTTCAATAATTTGAGCAAAATGAAAGGCACATGCAAAGCAAACACACAGATCTTAAGGGTAACATTTATCGAGGGTCCACAAGCCTATGGACTCTATTTTTCTATCCTTCAAGACTGACTCTGAAATTTGGAGCTACAACTCTTTCAAAAGGGACTCCTGCTGTCTTTCTTTCTTGTATCCTTGTTTGTTTGGAGTGTCTGGTCACTGCCTGTACATTTGAGCTGGATATAATAATGTCCAACCCTATCTCCTTTCCCATAGAACTTGGTGACTCTTCTTTCTCATGTCCTCTGGCATCACATGGACCTATGGTGAAGTCTGAAGGCAGACTTCTTTCTTAGCTTGAATGTCTACATGATTTTCTTTTTCCTTGATTCAGGGACTTCACTGGGATATCTTTTGGTTTGAACGATGACCACTTTTCCTGAGACATTGTATGTGCCCTTTCCATCTTTTTTTTTTTCTTTTTAAGATTTTATTTATTTATTCATGAGAGACACAGAGAGAGAAGCAGACACAGGAAGAAGGAGAAGCAGGCTCCACGCAGAGCCTGACGCGGGACTCAATCCCAGAACCCCAGGATCACGCCCCGAGCCAAAGACAGATGCTCAACCACTCAGCCAACCCGGCGTGCCCCGTTTCCATCTTTTCTTGAGGCCATCTTCCCTCAGTTTTAACTACTTTGGAGGTGAAGTCCAAGCACGTACGTTCCTCTGTGAAGTTTCATAGTTTCTCTTGACTCCCTTGTCCCCACTTCACTCTTCCTATCTGAGGGCCTCTTTGTATTGGAGGCGAGGTCATAGACAGCAGAGAAAGGTGTGTGAGCAAGACTGCCCTTTGATCACCCTATCACATCACTTTTAAATTCAGTAGGCTATATTTTCCATCTTTTACTGAGGATTTGAGCATTCCCATTTCCTGTCTACCACTCCCTCCCCCCCCCTTTTTTTTTATGATTTCAATGAACCTGAGTGAAAATGAGCTCTTGGAAAATCTGAAATTACCTCACTTATGAATGAGACTATCAACCAGGAAAATATTACTACCCTGAATCCTTAAACTCAGATCCTGAATTTAAAAATCATTATACCAAGCAGAATCCTGTTACTTTTAAAAAGTCACAGAAAACTTTAACCTGTTTTGCTCTATTTATAAGGTTAATAATGTTACTACTAGCAAACATTTATTGAGTACTTTTGATGCGCCAGATACAATTCTAAGTACTTTAGTAAGTGGTTAAGCCTTCTGACAACCCAGTGAGCTAAGCCCAGAGAGGTGAGTAAGCCATGATTTTAACTCAAAAGAGTCTGCTTGTCAAGCACACATTCTTAGCCACTATACTCTGCTCTTTCTCAAATAACCTTTCCAAATACTGAAATGTTTCTTCCACTCCAAAAGGAAAAGGACATTACAGACATAAACAGAGAAGTTTCGTCCACTACACACTGGCGCTCTCCCCAATATAGCAGGGGCTAAGGGAGGGGGTGGATGTACTACCATCCTTCCAGACATTCATCTATTATTTGCTTTATTTTTTTTAATGACTACAATAACAACATGACAACAATAATTCATTCCTCATGCTTTCCTTACCATGAGTTTAACATTTTAAAGATTTATAAATAAGACTTATTTAAAAAATCTCTGCAAATGCAATGCACATATTGACCTAAACTAGAAGTTCCATAAATCCCCCACAGAAGCACACATTTTAAGGACCAACCAGTGAAGGCTCTATCTGTCATGTGGCAAAATGAGAAAGAGGAAGGAAAGAATTAGCTTATGTTGCTTCATATCACTTTTGACGCCTGTTACTATTTTTCTATCTCCACCTCTGACCCAGGATATGTTTGAGGGGGGATAAGAAGGGGGTGATAACACTTATCTATAGCCTAATCACTAACTATGAACTGCTAAATGCGCCAATCTCCCTTCTTCCTGCCTTCCCACATTTCCCTTGTGGTCTGAATCTGGCCTAACAACAGATCAAGAAGCAAGAGGAAACGGAACTGATCTGAGCAAAGGATTTGATGGACACATAAGCCCTTTTACTAAGGGAAATGAACGTTTTTACAAATAAATCTACCTTATTATTAGGTGTGAATATTAATTTCCATTAGCCTACACTGTCCAATTATACTAGTGGGTGCTATATTAGCTTACAAAGGGCAGAAGCATTCAAAGACTGTCCTCACTTGAGTAATTCGGGAAAGGAATTTCCAGGACTGTTTTGGCTCATTTCCATCCCACCTCACCACTCCCACTGCCCTCTAAAAGCACTGTGTATAATTATCTGCTCTTCCACATTCCTCAACCACCTCACCCCAAATAGACATAAGCCTCCCTTGCTCCCTCTTTCCTTCATCTTCTTCCCTTTAGCAAAGGAGACTTAGGAAACATAGGACATCGTGACAAACAATGACATTCCTGTAATGTAATAAGACCCCTGGATGCTGAGTGAAAATGGTGTGTGTATAACATGGCACCCACGTGACCAAAGATAGCTGTGCTCCGCACCATGGCAACCGACTGCCCACCTTTCCCTCGAAGGCAGAGCACTGACAATATTTCCTTTAATTTTTAAAAAGGGTCACGAAGACTGCGAACATCCATAACTAGAGATTAGTGTTACACTCTGGTAAAACTTATACCTGGGTAATCAGACAAATACACGTTTGCATAAACAAGAGTCTACAGGGTGTACAGAATATGTAGTTGCCTTGAGCCAAAAGGATCTCTGGAGATAAAAATTCAAAGTGATGTTGCAAAAAGTGAACCTTGAAATCTTACAATTTCATTGAAAATATGGAAGGAGAATGAAAGCATATTTTGCCGTGTTTTTATCGAAAGACACTGTCAACCACTCGATATGTCAAAACCATGTCAAATATGTCATCCTCCTGTTGTGTAGCAAGATGACATGGAAGCCTGCAGCTTTATACACACAACCTAGGGGATGTGCCTCAACCACAGGTCGTCTTACTGTAGGCTTCGGTGTGCCCGAGATGGCATTCACCTTTGAAGAGGTGAGCAAAGGGGAGGCCACCTATTGAGTGTCCACTGGTGTCCACTGGGGTTTCCCTGTCACACGTCCCTGCACAGTCATTTGTAATTGTCTTCTGTGGTAAGAGGGAAGCAGTTTGGGAAAATGAGTGTGCCTGATGTTACTTCACAAAATCCAACGAGCATTTCTGGGGTCAGTTCAGCAGAAAAAAAAGGGAACTAAGTAAGACTTCTACTGCTGCCATCTCTGAAATATCTCCCCATTTCGCTGCGTGGCCCCAGGACCATCTCAGCCTGGGATGCCTTCATCTCGCACCTGACCTGCTGTAATATGGGTTATGTTGGTTTTGGTTTTTGATTCAAATTTTCTTAACATTTAAAATCAAAATCAAATCCTTTAGTGAGACCAACAAGGTCCTGCACCGTCTGGCCCCTGGCCACCTCACTGCATCCCTTGTCACTTGAGGGTCCTTTCACTTCCTGGCACCCAATTTCTTGGCTTCCTTCTGTCCATTCACCAGATGCCTGGATGCTTTTCCTCATGACAGGCCCTCTCTCCTCTCCCTCTGCTTACTCCCCTGTCTCATAGGGCTTTGCCACTCCTCCATGTAGATCTCTGGGTCTGGAGGGTCCTGCTGTGTGGGGTCTCAGGGGTGCCCCGTGGGAGCTCGGCAGGCTCTGGGGAGGAGGCTGCATCAGGGGCAACTCTCTCCTAATTTCAGATGAGCCGGAGCCCCTCATTGTGGCAGGCAACAGCCTTCCTCAGTTTC